TATTCAAATTCAAGATTCAAGATATCTTAGAAGTTAACAGAGATTACACGTATTTCTATGCTAGACAAGTCTACATACACATATATAAAACGTAAGCAGTATTGCCTTTATATACTAACACAAGCACTATAAATATGCATGTATATACGCACATTCACATGTATATGCATAATGTATTTCTATTTCAGTCAAGAAAACAATGTTCCCCTATTGACAACCCCACTTTATGAGTACAGATTTGTAAGTACTGGGTTCTTACAGTATCACAGTATATTGATTATTATTGCAGATTAATGATTAGGCTGCAATTATTAAATAATGCCACATAAAAATAGTTGGGAAGCTTCAACAAATATTTTGCCAGTATCTCTGCAAAGACATTTAAATATTAAAAGCTTTTTAATTCATTATGTACACAGCAGTGAAGCAGACATATTTTTGTGCTTTGTTTGTAGAAACTGTGGACTTGACAAAGACTTCTACCTTTACACAGTACAAGTAGGCTTATAGGAGTTGAACACAATTCTGCCTATGAGGAAAGAGTTTATGACTACTTCCCATCAAAAATATACTTGCAATTGAGTTGGCACACTACAGAAGAAGAATCCTCTCATCCTGAACCAACAGGGTAGAGAAAATAGATGTATGGATTCTGCCACTAAAACTAGGTGAAAACTGCGCAAACAAGAAGCTGTCTTTTGTTTCTGGAATTCCTGAGTGCCATTCAGAGGGCTGTCCTGCCTTCATAAACATGCCCACTACATGTCAGCGCTAATAAAATTCAAACAAAAACATGGAGAACCACAGCTAACCTACAGCAGTTTGATTCAACAAAAGATCTTTCTTGACTAAGCAGTACAAAAATTGTGCCAAATTTATTTTTTGGCAAGAACATATGCATCAGCTGCCAGATTCCCAGTAAATATGAAGGCGAGCAGAAACACTGGTTTCAGTAGAGGTATGCTGTCTTAACATCATTTAAAAATATGCCTTACTGTCTAACTTCCTCTTTTGCTACACCTCTTCATGGCTCTCTGCCAACACTAAATGAGTGATTATCTTTCCAGACACATCTTGTAACTTCTTTCTCACAAAAATACCCTGTCTCATTGAAAATAAATCTTTTATTTTTTCTTACCACTTTCTTGACTGTAAATACATCTACAGAACAATGCTAATTTTAGAAATTGTCCCTAAAAATAATGAATGCACTTTTAAATTGTCTTGTCTTTTTCATTACGACAAGAAGAAAGAAAAGAGTCAGTATCAAAAGTAATCAGCCATAAATATTTCCTTTGAGATACTATGGTGAGTTAAGCATAAGCATTTGCACTTCCTATTTGAAAGCCCTCATTGTTCATGTAGCAAACCAGTATTTCTAATTTATGCCACAATTTTGACCACTGTATGATAAATTCAGTGTCTCACAGAATATTTCCTGTTCCTTCTTTTGCTCATGGTTTATTGTTTTTCCATTTTTAACATGCATCTGTCTATGATCTACTTATCAAAATAAAACCCAAAACATATCTATAAACACTAAGTCAAGTATAAGTATGAAGGTGTATCATGTGATTGTGTGGCTAACTAAGAAAGGACTGCTCCTGGAAGAACACAGGTGCCCTCAACCTGCTCTGCCCCCAGTGCAAGTTGAGAAAGAAAAGCACCTCTCAAGGTTGGAGCTGTAGTTGCCAAAGGAAAAAACACTTTCTCATTTTGAGAAGTCCACAACTGGTATTACATTGACCGTTAAACACTTGGGTGTACATGCCTCTGTTGGACAAGTATACAGAACTCCTAATTAAAGAGTTTCATTTTTGCCACAAAAGGAGCTAGATTGTAATGGCATCTTTTGTCCTACGCTTAATGAAGGCCGAGTTATTTTTTAAACAATTAGTAGCACTGCTGGAAGAGAATGCAAGTAATTAGCATAGCTTGACACCCAGAGCAACACCAGTTGCTGTTGTTAGCATCAACAATGTGTCAAGTTAAAAAGAAAAATCACAAGAAAGAAAGTGTCACTTGAAGCAGTTTCGCTTTTCTTATTTAAAGATACAATTAACCACCAATCCTTTAATGAATCCACGATACTATTGGCTACCACATGCTCATTCTTTCAGATTTTATTTTTTTTTTAAGATTTGGGTAGCCTATATATCAAACTCCACTTATATTAAAAAACAGAAGCAATATGGCAAGCAACAACCCACTTTTCAGTTGAGGAATTTCTGATCCACTTGAACACTGAATTTGCCAATGGCAGATGCACATAATCTGTAAATTAATTAATACAATCTGCAAGATCATACCTACAATTTACATTAGTAGCATGACTCAAGAAGTTGTATTACCATTTACAAAGGAGGCCTTAAGGTGAAAATGGACCTGAAATTGTTGCCCATCAGCTACTAAACACTGGTGTGAACATGTATCATTCCTTTACTCCCTAGGGATAAATGCCAGTCTAGGGAACTGAAAAATCTCATTCTCAGAGTCTGATACATAAACCAGCACAAATTTCTGAGATGGAAGAGGCAATGAGGAAGGGAAAGATACAGTTTTCAGATTACCTTCTTATGAACAGAGGATGGATGCTAGATCTGTCTGGAAACCACCTAACCTACTGCTCCTTGGCTCAGAGTATAGACATGCCATAATCGCTGGTGTAATCGGCATGACGTCATTGCTGGCATTAGCAAAGTGAAATAGGCTGCTTCATGACAAAGAGGAGAGAAACTGGATTTTGTGTGGTCTAATAACAAAATTATTAGCAACCAAATGAAAAATAATCAACAGCAGAGCGTACGCAAGGAAGGCCTGACATTTTAATCAGCGCCGATGTATGTGTAGTAAACATTGAAAGCTACCACAAATAAAGCTGTAGCTAGATATGAAAATTCACCTAAACAGTAGTATAAGCCACATACTCCTTATGACAGCTAAAGAGAAATCAAAGCACAACTGAGAATCCTCATGATTATTGTCTTTGTAAATTATTTTTAGAGAGTTTGGGTACAAAGAAAGTCCATATTTCAAAAAAAATCATACAAGTACTGTAAATAATGTTAGGAGTTGCCATTATAAGGAGAGTTATTTGACTTAGGCCTATGCTAACCATCAAATTGGTACTTGAATTACTCTTCAAGGAGACTGCTGGAAAGTAGTCTGTTAGACTTTTACAGGTTTCTAAACTGGGTAACATCAAATATGAATGTTAGTTGCCTGTCTGAGATACCCTTTAAGAGTTCGCTTAGGCATCTTTGCACAGAAAAGCATAGATCATGCAAAAATACCCTGACTTTTTTTCCTATCTGCAGTATTAAGTCAAAGATCTCAAGAGAAAAGACATGCCTTTTAAAGTCTTTCTTTCCAGACTTGGCACATCTACATACATAACACTAAGAAACCTTTACTATTTTTTAACATGTTAAAAAATACACTAATCCTGTATTTAACATTGAAGGTATTTCTTGTTAAGTAGCATATTCATACTATTCATATAAAGTTGATAAACAATACACTGTTAGCTTACTAAACAGTAGCACCTGTTAAGGATATAAACCCACTGCATTATTGAAAAGCATGAAAAGTCCATGCATCTTCTATTCACATTTATGGCCCATGCTCTGTATTATCTGTGGCTAAATCCTTGCCTATTGAAATAACAAACTAGTTCAGGGAAAAAAAAAAAATAGGAAGCTAAAACAATAAGTTTTCCTTAATAAATAAAAACACCTTTAAGAGAGGAAAGGAAGCTATCAGGTTCACCAGTCCAAGTAAAGAAGGTTCTTTCATTATGTTACTGTAATCACAGAACTTGCTGTGTATGTTTGCACATACAAAGAGCCACAAAATCCACATAGCATGCATATGCAGATTTCACCTGCAATCATCTATAGTTATTATACACTTGTGCAGCCACACATTTTTGTCTGAAGGTACTTAAGAAAAGCCTTCCAGTTAGTTAAACCTATTAACTCAGTTGTTTTTCCCACCTCTGAAATCCTGTGTGAGAAGGCTGGCAGATAAGCTTTGCCCTCCACACTTGTGGTTTCTCAGTTGCAGTCTGTCTTTAAAAATCCTCCCCCAGTCGCATGCAGGCACACACAGACTCTACAGAGAGAGTGGGCGAAGGGAAGCATGGGATGCTTAGTTCCTGCCTTTGCTCTGCAGCAGTACCAAACTCAGCATGAGAGGAACATACACCTAGGCAGATGGGAGGCCACTGGGTTGGCCTTGCTGTTCAGCAGGAGCTCTGCCTCTCCTGGCAGCCTGGAGATCCCCCAGAGCACCCTGAGACCTGGCTGCCCACTGCCACCCTGCCCAGGGGTCCTGCACAGGTCCAGGGGCTGCTGGAACCAGGAAGGAGGTGTGCTGGGAGCTCACTGAACTGTCGGAACAGCACAAGAAGCCCAGAAACAATTTTGGGTTTGTTTCCAGCACGGCAGTGCCTGTGAGCCCAGGTGGGAGGTAGTGTGGGAAGAGCAGAGGCAGCATGTGTTTTCCCTGGCTGGACAAGCAGCTGGCATCCCCGAAGCCAGCACACATAAATGCATCTCCTGTTAGCAGTGATGCAAAAGGTTTCTTACAATGAAAGCAACCAAATGAAAAATAATCAACAGCAGAGTGTATGCAAAAAAAGCCTGACATTTCAATCAGCGTCTGTGTATGTGCAGTCAGCACTAAACACTGCCAGATGCCATGAATAAAGCTGTAGCTAGATAAGAAAATTCACCTAAATAGTAGTATAATGTGTCATATTCCTTATGATAGAAAACTCAACACACAACTAAGAAATCTTTCCTTGAGCAAAATCTAACAGCTTTTAAATGGTGATGATCAAATGCACATATAGATCTGTATGTGTACCTTGTCTGATTACAGACCATGCTCCTACCTTTCCCAGCTTCTGCCCAAAGAAGGAAGTCGGCATGCAACCAAAGCGTGCTTTCCTTCCCAACCACGTTATTTGGATAGAAAGGCCAATAGGTAGCACTAACCTTTAGCTTGTCATAGCGGTCACTTAAAGCTGCCACCTGATGGTCACGGTGTCGCCCAACCAGTTTACACAAGGCACAGATTAACTGGTCATCGGTCACGCAGTACATGTTAACTTTCTCGTCCTCATGCTCCAAGCACATTAATCCCCTGATGTGAGAGTCTGGGATGGGCTCGATGAGACGGTGACCGGTGAACGGCTTTTTGTTGGGGTGAGTGGCTTTCAGGCACTCCTCACAGTAGGACACCTCGCAGGTAACGCAGGTTTTCACTGCCTCCTGGGCAGGGTCCTGATCGCAGAACTGGCAGAGGACCTTCTCGCAAGTCGACATGCTGTTGCTATCAAATGCCCGCTCCCGGCGGGTCTCACTGGGGGAATTGGGCCCGCTGACCGAGGCTTTCTGAAACCTGTCAATGATGTTCTGCAGGGTGACGTTGCGCTTGAGCCCGTCTAGACCACGCTGGCTGAGGGTGATGACATAGCGGCAGGTTGGGCACTGGAAGGCAGTGATAGACTCCACCGGCTCGTTGGTGGCGCAGTGGGAGACCAGGATGCGGTGTGCGCAGTTGAAGCAGAGGCTGTGAGCGCAAGGCAGCAGCAGTGGGTCTTCAAACAGCTCCAGACAGATAGGGCAGGTCAGTTCTGACTCCAGTGTTTCCATCTTCAGGCAAAGCTTTCCTGTGGCGTCAGCGAAATCCAGGGAAGCTGATCAGCTATCTGGAAACACACGTAAAATTCGATTAAGCTAGAGAGGACATGAGGGGTCAGCCGTGGGGGGTTGTCAACTTTCTCCACTGCTCCTGGGGCTATCAACCCACCACGCCAGGCGGGAGAGCAATCTAAAGTTTTGAACCTGCACATGAACATATCAAGGTATTTAAAACTGGATTGCTTCTTTTTTTTTTTTTTTTGCTTTGCTGTTCATTTAGAAAAGAAAAGAAAAAAAAAAAGAAAAAAGAAAAGCTCCTTCTTGATTTCTTTCCCCCTTCGCGTTCAGGCGATGGAGGAAAATAGCAGATGTTTCTGTGCATTAGTAAAACCCAAAATAATGACCATCAAACAGCCTATCACAGCAAAATTAGATCTCTTCTGAAGATGCTGTTTTTGGCTTCACTCTTCTAGTAGTAAAACTTCTTAAAAAACCTTCACCTTCGTGTAACATTGTGCAAGGATTAGTCCAGCATATTATGACTGACAGCCTTACAATCGCTATTCCGGTTAATAGTTATTTTATCAGATAGAAATTTTCATTTGTTATTACAGCAATAGCACAACATTTAAAGTACATGTCTGTGTTTACTTGCATAAATGTATATCCGTATATATACAGGGAATAATGCTTCTAGGAAAGCATTTGTTATTTTTTTATTTGACGTTTAGTATATATGTATGGCATATATATCATATACTAATATACTCCTTCCATGTATTTCAAGAACACGCACAACTGTATTTATATGTACCTGTACTTTTGTGTACATGTATCTGTACACATAAGCCCCAAAATACAAGACATACATGTTTGTAGTAAGATAAATACAGCTAGAGTACTGCACCAGTGTCATAACTGAAATCCTTAAAGGAAGATGGATGAAGTAAATGATAAACTGCAATTTAGCTCAAATCTCTGATGATACTAACTTCTGGTACAAGAAGAACCATCAGAGAGGAAGACAGTAAAATGTAGTGAGATAGTGAAATGTGTGATTTGCCTAGGAGGAGTTTGTGTGTGTGCATCCACTTTTTTGTCAGTACTCTCTACAGCTAAAACTTGCCAGCTACCACTTGCTTTAGTGGCTTTAATGATCACCTGAAGTGGATTAGGAACCAATGACTTTAAAATGAAAAGCATGGGATTTTCTGGAGAATGCAGCAGTACAATCCCATCAGAGATCAACTGAAACTTCATTTTGCTTCCTTTCCTGAGCTCAATGTTACAGAGAGTGGTTTTGAAAGAATTGCCCTACGCAGCTCTCCCTGCCTAAGCTCCTGTCAAGGGTTCATCGCTGCTGCAAACAGACAGGTCAGTGAAGCAGAAGCAAAAGCTATGCTTCACACTCACAGAGCTGTACCTCTTCACAGTACAATCTATTTAAGCTTTGTTGCTCATAACTGAAGATGACTTCAGATGGCACAGCTGCATCGTCTTTACACTGTAAAGTCATTGTTTGGTTGTGTGAACTCTTGCCTCCTTCCCTGACCATGGAAAAGGAGGGATGGACAAGAATCTCTCACAAACAAGCCCTGGTTCATTAAGGCGGAGGAGAGCTCAGGGCTCATTAGCAGCCTTGGGAACCAAACCTGCTTGAACTTTCTGTACTTCATGACAATTAGTATGGGGAGCATGGTGGCAGTGACAGGAATGCTACCTATAACCCCAGTATGAACCACAGCAAAAAGAAAAGTTCAACAAATAGAGGCAACGTTCAGACTACCCATCAGTATTTAGTCCTCCTTGTTCTGTGGGAACAACAGCAATGCATCTGCTCCAGCAGTATGCTCAGAAATTAGGATACATTGCCTCTTCGCACTTATGCAACCTCTTATTCTGCTAAGAAACCTGAGCGTTTAAAAAACTCACTGACCCCATCACAAAATTTGCTTTCCTGTATCTTCTGTGATACTGATCTTAGTTGAAATAAAGTTCGGTTTGCCAAAGACTAATTCATTTATAACTATCCATCAGCTGACATAATTGCATGATGCATCTGGTCAAAATTAAAGGCCTGGCAATTTGATATAAGCAGGAAGACAACTCCCCTCCTCTCTCCTCAGCCATAGCTACAGAGCACAGAAGAGATGAAAGCCTTTTCTGCAAATGAAGACCAGTTTGTCTTTCCTCCTCTTCATTCTCTGTCTCACAGAGGTCCCAAAAGATCAAAATCTCACTTGCATCGCTTGAATCCCTTCCACACCACAACTGTGTACCTCATCATCCACTTATTCTGCAGGCTGAATGCTGTGCTGGAAATGGGAGAAGGGAATTTGGGGTTGGCAGGAGACAACGTTTCAAAAAGGCAGACTAGTCATTGCTCATCTATTGGCAGTCCTGTGAAAACCTGCCAACCTTTTGGTTTTGTTTCTGAGGCCTGTATTTGGAATATGGGGCTTTCTTCCATGCTATCCTTTCTGTACGAAATTCTTTCTGCTCCTTCATGTGCCAAACAGTTTCTTTCATTCAGTTTCCTTCTCAAAGCACTTTTTTTTAACCAAAGGTTTTTTATGGTGTTCATATAAAAGTAAACAGATAAAAGCAATGGCAAAACATTTGCATCAGTGCCTCATGGAAAGATGTTTGAATCATCACCATGGCTCTTCATAAATAGCAACATCTCTATTGATGACTAATTCTGATCTATCTGACCTGAATAAGCAGCAGCTCAGCCCTGACTAATGCTATTCAGTATGAGCAAGGGTGCCAAAATCTGATCTTAGACTGTAAACATCTCAGAATAAGATTCTATCTTCCAAAGTAATCAAAGCTGAGCACACTGTTAGAAACCAAATATGATATTTCTGTTTTCTTTTGCAGTTGCCAATAAATCAAAACACATTGCATCTGAGACTGAATAATGAATCCTTTAAGAGGCACTGAGAGGGGCTCCATTTTCTGGGCAAGCCACTGATTGCTCTTTAATCGACTTAAGCAATTGTGCTTTCTCTTTTAGGTTGGTGCCTGAAATACAGAGTGTTGCTACTTGCTAGTTGGCCCTTGCCTTAAGGTTTTGTATTTAGTTGTTTTGTTTTTTTTTTCTTGTAGTGGTAGGGAATCCTACAATGAACTGGAAGATTACGCAGAAACTCAATATACAAAGTTTATATATGCACTTGCTTGTATTCCATGTTAAACATGGCCCATAAATTAAAAGCTACATAGACAGCCTCCAGACACAGAAAGGAAAGAATTAATTTCAAGTACATAATTTCATATTTGCAAAAATATGGAACTATTGGCAGAAAATTGTACTATTGCTGAAAATGTCACTGAAAAGAGAAATATTACTTTTCTAGCCACAAAAGGTAGTTTTAAAAACAACTATCAAAGTAAAAGTGATTGACAACAGACAAGTGTGATTTAAAATTCAACAATATACCTAAGTAACTTTAGGTTTGTGACATTTCCCCAGCATATAACAATTACTTACGTATTATGTGGTAAACAATGCAGTGAACAAAATTCTGATCTCAATATAGTTCATGGCAAGACTTCTACTAACACTAGGGGAATTAGCATTTTAGTACCTCTTGTTTTAAGCCTGACATTTCATAGGTGGCATTAATGTCTTCAGTCACACAGAAACACACCCAAAACTTATGGGAATTAGAGAGACATGAAAAAACATAAAGCTAAAGCTGAGCTAGATATATTTCAGTATACTAAGTACCAGTAGAGATGAATACATAAAACAATTAAAAAAAATACATAAAAATCCCTCAACCTGTTTCATAGACTCATAGAGTCAACCAGGTTGGAAAAGACCTTAAGATCATCAAGGTCATAGAGAACTGTCTCTTGTGAAAGGGATCCCACCCTGGAGCAGGGTAAAAGTGTGAGGAGTCCTCATTTGAGTATGAAGAGACCATGTGTGATGAACTGACCACAACCCCCATTCCCCATACCCCTACACCTGTGGTGGGGGAGGAGATAGAGAACATTTGGGCTGAAGTTGAGCCTGAGAAAAAGGGAGGCATGGGGGAAAAGTTTTATTATTAAGATTTATTTCTTATGTCTCATTATCCTGCTCTGGTTGATTTGGTAATAAATTCAACTGTTTTCCCCAAGTCAAGTCTGTTTTGCCCTTGACAGTACACTTGGTGAGTGATCTCCCTGTCCTTATCTCAATCCATAGACTTTCCACTATAATTTCCTTTCCCTATCCAGCTGAGGAGGGGGAATGATAGAGGGGCTTTGGTCAGCACCTGGCACCCACCCACAATAAATCAGTCACAAGTATAAAACTACATTTAAAAACGAATGTGTTAAAAATTCCAGTGTACTTAGGACACTTTTTTTCCTCAGTAAAGCACTACAGAATTCTCCCCACACAGAATAAATCCCTAGCTATTAGAATAAAGTTAGCAGGCAATGTTTTAGCATGCCATGTGTTGCCTCCTTTTCTATTCCAGCTGCAACTACAGGTTTCAGGGAAGGTGAGAAAAGAGTCTTATCTGGAGTGAAAAAAGGTGGAAGACTATGTCCTATGAAACTTCACTTTCCTCTCTAGGAAACGTGAAGCCCTTTGCATGAATTAAAGCTGTTTCAGTTAAGTGACATTGAAGGAAGAAACAGAGCTGTAGGCCATTCTGGAAAGTTTAAGCTTCATACTAAACAAATAGCACTGGACAAAAGAACCAGACTTGTGCCATGTTCCAAAATTCCTTAATGTGTTATCTCTCTGGCAAAATCACAGTTTGTTGTGGATTATGGCCAAAATACCCCCAAGCAGGTTCTAATAGCATTTTTCCTAACAATTCATTTTCTAGCAACTTGCAGTTTTAAGGCTACGACCAAATGCCTACTATAGTAAGGCTATTTCAGCCCTCATCCTTCAAAGTCATATATATATGAATGTTCATAAACGGACACAAGACCACAGGCTAAATTAAAGATCAAAAACTTGAAGATTAAGTCTTTCTGTAGAAAACACTAGTCAATTTTTTTCAGTTAGAAAATCAAATTTATTAAACTGCTATTATATTAATATGAAATGAAATGT